CAGAACTTTTCTTGATAGAATAGGAAGCATTAAAATGTAATATACAGAGCTATCAAAAGGAGAGAAATAACATCTTCCAACTGTCCAAACAGAGAGCGTATGCTTGAGGAAAACAGAGCTGAGGGTGGGGTAGCAGCGGATTTTAATGGAGTTAAGGCTTTTTTTCCAAGAGCAAGAAAAACACACTGTGAACAGTTTGTGCACAGTCATCGTGTCAGAAGAATTTTTATAGAAACAACCACATCTCACTGAAGGGCATAAACCTGTCAGCTTCCAGCTCCAAGAATGCCAAGAGTAAACTGCATGTTTGCTCTCAGTTTAGCATTCAAATGCATAGCACTGAGATAGGGAACAGGAATTCTGCAAGGCAGCAGGCTGCCCCAGGGCACGCCGTGATATGCCCTGTGCAGTTCAGATGTACATCAGGTTGTACGAAATTGGTCTCCATCCACATAATCTGTTATTTTGGTGATATTATTTCTTTGCTTTTTTGTTGTTGTTTATTTCTTACGTAAATTAATTTCCCTAAGATACAGTGCCTAACGATCTGACTATCCATGATATGCTTCAAATACTGGAATACATTAGACTATAAGAAGGCCCTATGGTGATTTGCTAATTAGCTTAACTCTTATGGGACAGAGAAGTAGGAATTTTTTATTAAATCAGGATAACAGTGGACTATATTGATCTGACTGAGAAACGAGTATTTTAGTCAAGATGAGCCTCTAGATGAGTACATGCTGGAAACAGTGATGTTGTTTCCATAGCAATGCCATGACTGCTGCTGAAGTGAAATAGTGCGCTACCAGGAAATGAAGGGAGTTCAAGTGCTATGAGCTACATACTTCTGTGAGCGATCCAAATACATTCTCATAAAGAATATTTAGTGCAGCTAGATAGTCCAAAGATTGCTGCTGATGTGAAGTAAGCCTTATCAGTATGCTTCCAGCGCTGCAGTTTTCTCATTCAGTACACCAAAGATGACTTATCTAAATGCTTCAGCTATGGGCAACACTGCTAAGCCATTTCAGACTGAACATTAACAAATACAGCAACCTTTACCTCCCTTCTTTTCCAGTGAAGAGTATCATCTATAATTAAGGACACTCTCGATCTCCATAACATGATCATACACATTAAACCTTTCAGCGAAGAAAAGCCTCATATGTGTAATTATTTACTAGCTGACCCTCTCGCTTCCTTTCCTCTCACCTCCTCCCCCCTTTCCTCATCCTGCTCAAACAATAGTGAGCAAACATGCTTGCAAGTGGGAAGTCATGTACAAAAAAGTTTTGCATGTTTCTCACAGAAATTTACAGTCATAGCATAAAACTCACTTCCCTGCTTTTCGCCCCAGTTACTATTTATGCTAATATCAAAGCAAACCACAAAGTCACTAACTGTATTTTGCTTGCCTAAGGCTTTACCTAACGTACATATTTTGATCAAATTTTGCAAGGCTGAATTATTTTCCAAGGCAGCCAGAACGAGAACTTAAGATCTGCACCGCTTTGTCCTTTTGTTTTGAAATACTCAAAGAATTCTCAGTGATTCACGGAAGTGCTAAAGTAATGGTTATAACCCAACTGAAGCCATTATAACTGTTCTCGACTAAAATTTTAAAAGACAAAGTATTTTACTTAAAAAACCCTAGCACATCACTGTTAATCTGACAGTTTTTCTCCAGCTTTTCCCCGGTAATTTGTAAAGATGTTCAAACATCAGCTGAATGTCCAGAAGCTCTACCACTGTATTTGTTGTGCCATCATCACAACAGTCTCTTGGGTAAATAGACTGCAGTTCATTATATGCAGCACTGCTGTCTCTGAGGGAAAGTAGAAAGACAAGTATGTACCACTGCCAGATCCCTTATTAACAAATGCAACTAAGAGCTAAATATTTTCTATTTATTGTTTTAAACGTTTCAAGGAATCAAACCCCCAGTGCAAAACAGCAAGATGTTTCACTTCCATTTTACATCTAGTAAGAAAGCGTGAAGCAAGCATTTTTAAAACTCAGTCTCCTCTTGTCTGTTCTCTTAACTCTTCTGCAGAACAAGGCACCAAACTAAGCAACATTCAGGTTTGATATTAGGAAAAAATCATTCTCTAAAAGAGTAATAAAGCACTGCAATGAGCTACCCAGGGAGGTGGAGGAGTCACCATACCTGGAAGTGTTCAAGAAGAGGGCAGGAGTGGACATGGGGACATGGTTTAGTGGGCATTGGTGGCGATGGGCTCACAAGTGAACTAGATGATCTTAGAGGTTTCGGTGTTTCGGTTAGAGATTCAGTTTCGTTACTGGACAGATTTAAAATCTACTGGAAAACACGCTGCTGCAATTTTATGAGAACTTAAATTGTCCTACATAGGGGAAGAAAAAAAAAAGAAAAAAAAAATACCTGCCACTGTGGCCAGTATAGAAAAAGCAGGCTGCCACCTAAGTTTAACCACCTCTTTACTAATGGTTTTATCAGTGTTCTCTCTTATCACTGCCTGAACTCTCTCATGACCACCTGACAGGTATTCATTCACGCGTATCTAAAAGAAGCAGCAAGATCTGTATTGAATCCAGGATAAAACACAGTTATTCCAAAGTTATCCACACAAGTATCCCAAAGTTTATAAACAAAAAGTTTCCCATCCTAAAACTCAGAAACAGAGTCTGATTTCACCCCCCATCAGCAGTTTTAGAACGTCCTCAGACACTTAACAGCTTACTTACTATAAACTGTCTAGTGTTGTAAGGGTTAAATTAGTGATTCAAACACAAACTCTAGAAAACACACTTATTAGTAAATATTCCACAACAGGAAGGTGTGCATAGTACACACAGCTGTGACTGAATACAACAGATGAGTACACACAAGTAGGGTCAGTAACGTTCTAAATAATAGTTATTCAGTCTCAAGTACCTTTGATGTCCATGTTGTATCATCAAGACATATGGTAGCATTTATGGTCTTGAAACTGTTTTCCAGCTCTTCACAGGTACACTGCTAGTTTGAAGTATCTTTGTGGAAAACACTTTAGAAGTCTACATATAAACATTTTCATACAAAGGGTAAATGAATTAAAATTCTGTTAATCAGGCTATGAAATCTAAAGTTCTCATACAGAATTTCTTTAAACTTTCTGTATCAATTTCCTCATCTACAAAATAGCAGACAAATTTATCTATCCACCAGCTCCTTACTCTTTTGTGAAGATTAATTGTACAACATGTACAGGAGAAAGGAAAATATATGCATACAAAGAATTACCTTACACCACCTTATTCACAATGCTTCTGTTCTGATTGTATCAATACTCTCAGTAATGTTTTATTTTCAAGTATTTACACACATCTGGGATTTGAAAATTCATTTGGATCTGATATTTCAGTCACTAAGCTCTTATCATGAGAAATGAGTCATTAAAATCTCAGGTCATCCTCATGAACTACAACAAATAACTGTTTTGTTTTGTTTTTGAATTTCTCAGAACAATTAATCCTCACAATCCATACTTCATAAAGCATCTTTTAACACAACAGTAGGGGATTGCCAAAAGCAAAGACTTACATAAGTATTCAGGAGTGTGGTTTGGTTATCACATACAGACATACAGAGACTGCTGTTCTCATTCTGACTCATCGCTCTGCTTCAGAAGAGGAAGAATACATTCATCAGGCACCTACAAAAGTGCCCAGGAGAGACACAAGAGTGCAGGGTGAAGCTACAGTGAGAAGGACACTGTGAGAAGCCACACTGCTACTCCATAGAGATGTGCTGGCAAAATAATTTCTCACTCTGTCCTCTCATATGAAACTACAGAAGTACAGTTGCTTGAATATCAAAGGCAAACACTGCTGCATTTTAAAGGACCACCTAAAGATTGATCCTAGAAACAATCGTGTTAAAGAAGGCACCACTGATCTCACTTAATGTAGACGGGTGAAAGGCAGAAAAGGAATACCTCAATTTGTTTCCAAACTCATATTACCTAAGAATAAATGCACCTGTCATTCAATACTACAAATGCAGTCCCATTTGGTTTTTCGTTTTTAAGGACATCAAGAATTGCTTCATTTTATAAATTTTTTCCTCCGACTTTAATAAAGCACAGGCCAAGCTCCAGAGATTAACTAGCCTACAGATCAAGAAACATGAAAGACCAATAGGAAAAGGAAAAAGAGCTCTTTGTGTTGGCAAAAGGAATTTGTCCACAGCAATATTTAATATCAACATCTAATAGTCCTTCATACAATTCCATGGATAAATATTCTTCTAATTCCTCTTGAAATAAAACAAAACAGCAACAAAAAAGGGCATACAATATTCTGAACTGGCTCCATAATCTATTTCTTGTCTTTCTCTTCCCCTATGTTCTGCAACACACAGAGAAGCATTTTTCTTGACTTCATTTTCTCTGGCTCCTCCTGCACTGTGCAGTGCAGTGCAGGGGCAGCCTCCCTGACTGCAATGATCCCACAACATGGCTTTCAGGATGATGCCAGCACTTGATACAGCAATGACTGCATTAACTCCAAACAGAACTCATATGAAGCAGGCAAGCCTAATCCCCAAACTATGCACATCTCAGAAATAAGGGTTTTGTGCAGCAGGGTGGCTGAGAACAGGGGACAGAGGAAGAATAGGCCTTTCAGGAAAAAAAAAATTACAAAAAAGTGGTGCAGCTCAGCATGAAATGTCTTAAGGAAATCACAGTATGCTGTAACATGCTAGTCAGGTGGATAGTTATCATTCAGTCATCATCTGTTTTCTGTTTATGTGTCACTGACCAACTCCAGGACTACTATTTTTCACGAAATTCCCTAAATTTTGCAACCTCTTAGCTGTCCTTCATGATATCTGAGTGTTTTCTGTTACAAATACTGCCTGGATTCTGGTAAGGGTAAGATATATTTATAAATTTGCAGAAAAAATATTTTATAATGTCCCTCCTAAGCTCCACTAATGCTATCACCACTGACCAAGGAATCACAATAAAGGATACTGAAGCTTCTATCTGTGATTGCTAAGTGCCAGAGATTAATCCTGAGATCATCCGCTGACATGTACGTCTCACAGTCACTGTTGACAGATATTGAGTTGACATGATAGGTGTGACCATTAGCAAAGATTCTCCGGGGAGTGACTTCTACCATCAAATCCATAGGTTTCAATACAGGCACCTGACAAAAAACAACAACAGATCAGAAACAGAGTAAGATCTTAACTAATTTTTTTGCTAGCATGATGGAGAGCAAGTATTCAAAGACTGTGACATTATAAAACTTCTCAGCAGTGTATGCAAGTTGAATTTCTCTATGGATGAATAGTTGGGCAAGACCATCCCTGACAACGGGGAAGCCAAGACAAGAGCCATGGAGAGCTAGGAAGAACAGTGGAAAGCTTGGGCCGCAGGAAGAGAGGCACTGACAGCTGCCACAATGCAGGCCAGCCCCATGCCTCACATATGCAGAAGGTTCTGGCTTCATCAGGCAAACAATGAACTCCTAGTATTTATTTTTTCCTATATTCTGTTTGCTGTAAATCACTCACATTATTCCTTTTGCTACTTTATCTCAAAAAGAAGTCAATCAGCGAAAAGGTTATAATCTCTGCCAAACATAATAAATAAAGTCTTAGAAAACAAACCCAACTGATCATTGCACCCTTGTTATTTCCCTGTGTGTGATTTTGATGTCATGCTCTGAAATCTAGACAATGCCCTGTTGGTATAGCATTAAACACAGAAATGCTGTGATCCTCAATGCTCATATAAATGCTGGCAATATTTGATGTAGTTGAACATGCACCAGAAACAATCTATTAAACATGCAAGATCATTTAAGGAGAAACACAGAAAAGTTAAAGCTTTCAGTTTAATTTGCTGCTACGGCAACAAAGCAATGATTCTCTCCGTCTTTGAATTCTCAGATTACAAGTAATCCTAACTGGCTTTGTCTGCTTAATGATACAGAACAGGAATTCTGCAAGAATTCCATTCATGTAGATCTGTAGACTTTGGTGGGTATTGGCTTGGCTTGCAGGTAGGAGTTGATTATTTCTTTTTAAAATTAGTGAAAATAATAGCACTTGTACAACACAGCCTAGGATAGAACTTCTAGCTCTAACCTTTAGTCACCTCCTTTAGAAAAACACCTGAAGTGATTCAGCCATGACAGTGTGAGAGCAAAAATATATTGCAATATGAGATTGAACACTGAACCCATCAGCAATGCAAAGCCTCACATTCACTGGACTTCTGCATATCTCCAGAAAGAAGACAATTCTTTTATACTACTGTAATAATGATGAGACTGAAATTTGCTATACTGTCTAACTCCGTTACTCTGAATGAGGTGAGTGTACTATTTAATATTAATTATAAGTAGGCTTCTTCCAGCACACTAAGTTCCATAACCCTGTGTGAAAGAAAGTGAAGTCACACTGAGAGAATTTTATCAGGAAAAATAAAATTGATGATAAACTCCAAACATTTCTGTGATGGTCACTATGTTGTAAAGGACTTGTGACTTAAAAATAGATTATAGATTCAGAACTGTGAAGTCAGCCAAAACTTCAAGAATAATTGCATATATACTTAACACTAGGTGTATATCTAAATCTTTCACTGACTTGGTGCCCAGGACTATCTTCTTCACACAGAAGCAGCCAGGACAATGACAGCATCTTACCTGTAGTGACGTTACTGTAGAAAGATCTTTCAGCTTTCCTTCTTCATCCTTTAAGTTGTACCCCTCTGGTCTCTTATCTCTTTCAGTAATTTTCCATAACTTGATTGTTTTATCTTTAAAAGAAGAGACAAACAGCTTTCTGTCAGCATAGGAATTCTGAACATGGTTACTCACCTTTCACAAAATACTCTTTAAAGAAGTTTCTGCACCTTGGCTTAGCCATGTTCCATGCTGAAACAGTCTAGGTCTCTAAATCTGGCACATTCAATCAATGCTGCCAACTGGAAAAAATACTCATAAAGCACAACCCATACCCTGAAGTGAGTCAGAGAGCCCTGACAGCTGACAGACCCTGCAAAATACACGCTGCTCTCATATCCAACTCAGCAGTTTGCAGGCAGAACATACCAAAACCACACAGTGCTTCCTGCTGAAGGTCAAACTTGCAAAGTCAAATCATCAAGGAAATAACCTTGATACTAAAGCGTGTTAGCTAGGTTACTTCTGAACCACACAAGAACAGAGACCAGTTATACCTGTTTAGGTTGCTGTGGACATGGGCAAAGGTGTATTGGTATAACATCATGAGCTCTAGCAAAGAAATGAAAGTGTGAAGTATGAAACATTTTGCTCTCCTAACAAGGGATATCAACAAAAAAACATTAAAAAAACAGAGAAACATGCTGTAAGGGTAAGAGAGAGAGAAGTGGAGAGAAAAATATATTAGTATCACAGGAAATTGAGTTAAACCTAAACTCTCCCTTTTCATGATGGATAAGATGATCATCAAGAATATCACAATAGAATTAGGATGTCTCTTGTTTAGTGAAGAGTTTTTTAAACATTTCAGATGGAATTTCTCCTTTTTGTAGCTGCACATTAAAGCTGCAGATTTCCCTGATACTGTCTACTCCCCTCCAACCTTGCACCTAACTTGGCAAATTTAGGCAGAAAAATAAATGTCAGCTCTTCTCCTTCTACACGTGCACATAACTTGTCCTGACCTTCTAATAGTTGTTTTACACATCCTTCATGGAGCAGCCAGATTTTCCAAAGCATCTGCACGTCAGATGCTAACCTCCATTCCTTCAATTTTTCTCATTTAATCCTTTCTTCTTCCTTCACCCTTCTCTTCCCAAAATTCCAAACACTTCTTTCAAATGCTAGTACATATTATTTTAAAAGTTATATATCTCAATACAGAAATCACTCCTCATTTCTATAGCAATTTTACCTTTGATCTCTTTTTATTTTAAAAATCAATCAGTTGCTCCGCTACTCAGAGAGCTTTTGTTATTATGCATCTGTGTTGGGTTTATGTGGCAAGGTTTTGGTACTGGAGGGCTGCAGGGATGAGCAGGGCACAGCAGATGCCCCATGTCAGATCAGAGCCAGTTCCAGATGGCTCCAAAAGGGACCTGACACTGGGCAGAGCTGAGCCACGAGTGACACTGGCTGTGCCTCTGTGAGAGCAGATCTAAGAAAGGGAACAACAGCTGTTCAACAGCAGCTGGAAGAGGAGTGAGGAACATGAGAGAAACAGCCCTGCGGGCAACGAGGTGCAGGAGGGCAGGAGTTGCTCCAGGTGCAGAGCAGAAGTTTCCTGCAGCCCAGGAAAGGCCCACAGAGAGGCAGGCTGTCCTCCCGCAGCCCGCAGGCACCATGTGGAGGTCTCCACGTGTAGCCATGGAGCAGCCCTGAAGGAGGAGCAACACATGGAGAGCCCCAGCAGGAGCAGGGCCTGCGACGGAGCTGCAACCCGTGGAGAGGAGCCTGCAGTGAGGCAGGAATTCTGGGAGAGCTGCTGCCCATGGGGACCCATTCTGGAGCAGTTACTAACAGATGGGCCCTGTGGTACTGAGCTGTATTGAAGCAGTGCTTGAACAGCTGCAGCCTGTGGGAATCCCACGCAGGGTCAGTTCAGTAAGGCTGGCGTCCCGTGTGAGGGACTCCATGTGGAGCAGGTGGGAGAGAGTGACCATGGAGGAGCAGCAGAGATGAAGCATTATGGCAGCCCCTATTCCTTCTTACACTGTACTGCATGGCAGGAGGAGGTGGACGGGAGGAAATTGGTTTTAGTTTCTCACTGCTCCAGTCTGTTAGTAATAGGAAATAAACTACACTAAGCTCCCTATGCTTAGTCTGTTTTGTCCATGCTGGTACTTGGCGAGTGATCTCGCTGTCCCTGCTTCATCCCTTGAGCCTTTTTTCATCACATTTCCTCCCTCTCTTCCTCTGAGGAAGGGGAGTGAGAGAGTGGTGTAGTGGAGTTCAGCTGCCCAGCAGGATGAAACCACCACAGCACTTCCTACAGGTATGGATCAATCTACAGAATAAGTGGTTATTTCCATTTGCAGCTGAACAGTTGGAAAAGAAGTTCAGTATATTTCATTTTTATCAGTCATGTTAATTACTAAAAGTACATACGGGGTATATCATGTACTTGGGATTTTTATTACATGTAAATGTGCTTTTTTGCTCATCTAATATTACTAAACACAGTGATTATAAAATACGTAGGAAGAAAGTGTGTTTTCCACTGCTGAACTTGACTGCTATTGATAAATCTACCACTTCCCTGAGAGAAAATTTTCAGTGGTTAAGGATGTTGTGTGTTGGTTTTCTTCTCCCTTGTCTGCCTTCCGGACTTTAAAATCTCCACAGAAATTCCAAGTATGCTTATGTTTCGCAAAATATTGAAATATCTTCTTGAGGTTCAGTATTCCTTCAGTCTCAAGAGTGTTGTGAAGTTTAAATTAATTAACGTCTGATAAGAAATCTCAAATTCTCAGATGAAAGGATGTGTATGGGTCAAATTCTGATTTACACAATGTAAATCAAATAGGAAGTCCCAGTATATTCTGGTACAAAAGATACCAATGAATTTTAATAATTTAATACTATACCACAAAATTAGTTCAGTTTACAACGCAAACCAGGAATTTGCTAACTGCAAGCACTGCAAATCCACAGTGGGATTTGAAAGCCTTGGTGACTTTCTTCTGCCTCCATTAATTAAGACAATGCAAGCAGAGCTTAACTGACAACTTACTGGTAATGTGTGAACTGCAAAAGAACTCTCTAATAGCAAGATGACTCATGAAGGAGTACTTAGAAGGATGGAAACAGATTCGGGAAAGTGCAGACCTGTCAGGTCTCATATAACGAAGGTGAGATTAGATGGACTTCCCCCTCATGCTTTCCCTAACACAGGGATGCTCCTTCCAGCAAATTCAATAGCCACTGCCTACCTGTAACTAGGCAAAGAACATGCTCTGCAGAAGTTTTATAGGATCTTTTATAGTTCTCTTTGTTTTGACCAAACCTGTGCTTTAGATCCTAAACTAGCAGAGGGCTCATAAACAGGTAAAAATATAAGCCAGTACTCAAAGTGTTTTTACAGCAGGACCAATGTAAGCATGGATAGCAGACAATGCCTTCACACTGTACAAGCTGGGGAAAATAGTATTCTCCACTTCTAACAGGCATGGAATTGATATAAACTGTGTATTCTCACAGGAAGTCTGTGTGGCAGCAAGGAGTTGAACATGGGCCTTCTGTATCCTAAACCTGTAACTATTTTATGACTATGCCACAAGATGAATTTTCAGATTTCAGCCTTACTGTGCCAGGATACTATGAATTCTCCTTAACACAGAAAAACATTCTGCAATCCCAAGCCAACATCCACAGGCTATACCCATGACATCACTTCTGCTCTCCTTACATAAAGAGGTCACACAGGATTCTCCACAATTAGGAAGGAGGGAGAATAGAGGGCCAAACATTTTGCTGGATCTTAAGCTGGCAAACAGTGACCAAATATTTACTAAATGATAGATGTACAAATTAGGACCCATTCAGTTTCTTCCAACTATATTATCCTGCATCTCCCCTCTTAGCAATGATTCTGCATTTTCTTCAGCAATAGGCTTTAAGCACGTGGAAAGATGAGTCAGTACCCATTTCTTATTATTACTCCTATTGTAAAACTTAAATAGAGCATTTTGATGATAATGAATGAAGAGAAAAAGAAATTCATTTATCTCACCTACTTTCATTTACACATCTGTAAAGAATAAAAGTTATGACAAATACAGCAGACAAAACTCTAAATTCCCAGTGAAACACAGCTCCTGGATAAGGTGATGTCTTTATCACAAAGTTAATTTCAGGATAGCATGGCACACAAAGAACAAAAATGGATAGTGCTCTAAACATCAAAAGGGAAAACCTTGTGACTGAGCATAAAATGCAAAAGTAACAGCTATCAGAATCAGTATGGCACTCTGAGTAAACTCTGACACATGAAATCACTAAAACAGTAAATCAAAATGAATGCAGAACTTGAATATATACAGTCAACGCTAAAATGCAAAAGAGCAAAATGTGGTTATGTCCAATATATTCTCTCCTATCTTACCATTTGTTGATAAAAGTGAGTGAGCTGCATTTTGCTGTGGTAACCACTTGATCTTGTTTATTTTTTCTTCTATCTCCAAGCTCTTCAAATAATCAAATTCAGGTTCATGGCTCTGGAAAGTGCTGTAAACATTGTACTCCCCCTGACTGTAAGGCTCATTTTTACTCTGTGAAGAATAAGAACAACAAAAATGCATGTTGTATTATGGCAATATATTTTCTCCTGCTCTAGGGGAAGGTGTACTAGCAGTCTTATAAATATAAAAATGTTGAATGTCTAATTAAATTTCTCATTTAAAACATGATATCAATAGATCCGTTTCTACAGGAATGAAATTTCCCATAAATATCAAAGTAGCATTTTATAAAGGACAGAATTTTGAAAGAAATGTCAACTGCACAGAAGATGCTGTGCATGGACTAAATTTAAAACTGGAGCAGAAAAGATAGCACAGCACAAACATTGTTTGAAATTGAATAACTCCATCAAAGAGGCAAAAGCTATTAAAAAGTAAAACAAAGACCACCACTTCTCTTCTTAGCTTGGAATTCTGGAGCTCTGCCGTATTCTTTAGAGGAACAAGACTAAACTTCTGATGAAAAGAGATTTACCCTCCTTCCATTCTTTTTTACTCAATCTCGAGATTATAAGCAAGTTTTTTCGTTAGATCTAATTGAAGTACTAACAATCAAAACAGCTGTTAGCAAGCTATTAACTCACATACCTCAGGTTCCCTTTGGAATATAACAACCCGACCCCCCTTGTCACCAGTAGCCAGCAGTTCTCCAGTGTGGTTGAACTCAACTGTAGAAATAATATCAGCTAAAGTGGAAAAGAGAGAGAAAAAGGAAAATTTTAGTTTACTGCTACAACACAAAGCCATTAGGATTATCAAGCACTCCACAAAAAATGAGGGATTTGAAGGGAAATGAATTCAACAGCAAGGCACTAATGCAAACAGGCTGCATGCCATTAGAATCCAAGGTTGCTACACAAAGAAACAAGTGCAAACGTAAGGAGGCAAACTTGTTTCCAGCACGTCTGCAGCCTGGAGATCTCTAGAGGGGTTAAGATTCAGGAAGAGCAAACCCAGCTCTATAAAGCTTTTTCGCTACTGGAGATAGCAGACAGTGTTGGCCCCCTGCTATTTCCTCGGCAGGGACCAATGTGAAAGCTTATTCCTGCTGCATGTATTATTTATTCTTCATTCTTTATTAGGGTTCCAATAAAACCCTAAGCACTAGTTTACTAGTGTTTGAGCCAACAGTAAAAAGGCAAAGTACATGTGCCACAGAGAACTGCTCACCGTGCCATGCTGGTAAGAGCCCATTCAAATCAGAGTTTTCAGTAAATCATTTCAGCACCATAAAAATGTGTCATCAGAAGATAAAAAGATTGCAGTCTTTTTCTAATTTTCAACAATTCTCTTTCCCTAAGCAATTGCATCAGCTTATACAAGAAACCTCATCAAAACCTGAGGCCAATCTTGAGCACAAAATACTGAACATCAGAATGAGAAGGGAGAAATTGATAGGAGCAAAAGAGCTGGCACTTCTGCTTGTACAGCAAATGCGAGAATCATAATCCACAGTTAATCCTACACTATTAGCATAATTTAAATTAAAATGCCTAGTGCAATAGTAAATTAAGAAGCCATCACATATACAACCACAGACAAACGCAGAGTATTACTCAGAGACTACACGTATGAATTCTCTATAATGATCAGCATGCACTCAGCAGAAGCACGGGCCGCATTTTTTGAAGCATCCATAGTCAGCAGCTCCTCTTCAGGCATTAAAAGCTGTGGTTTTTAAATGTGTTCATCATCCATCAGTTTATATCGAGAACAATGGGGCTACAGGGGGTTAAGCCCTTTTGAAAGCCTAGCCCCAAATGAGTTCACTAAAATTTAAAGGAATTAAAATAACAAGTGGATGCTCCATTTATTGGATACATTTCGTGAACTGAAAACATCTGCTCCTATTATTCCTCTAATACACTAGCATTTGAGTGTTAAAAAGCTCCTATTGCCAGTAGCTCTCATCAGCAACACAGTCTCCAAAAACCCAGATTCTTACTGGAAGATCATAAGCACCACCTGAAGAAGGAAAACCATACTCTAATAATAATAAAGCATCTCTTTTGATCTTTTTAAGAAATCTCCGTCATTCAATTCCGTTTGTCTCTCTAAAAAACGTTCATTTTTTTTTTTTTTCACTATACATTGACATGTAAAGAAGGAAGGGAGGATCGTAAAGTACGCTGGCAATTATTTCTTTTCTCTGAACAAAATGTATAGATACATAGCCTTTGAGAGAAATGGCATACAACAACTTGCAACATTTTGGTCATGAATCCTAAGCTTCTCATATTTGATGGTCTTTGATTCTTTATGCAGATCTCTGCAGACTGTATTTCACAGGTGATTATCCCAGCTGCTCTCACCTTACTAGAGTTTTCTATAACGGTTGGACTGGGTGATCTTTTAGGTCTTTTCCAACCTTGGTGATTCTATGATTCTATGATTCTATGAGTATGGAAAGAATAGAGAGGCTATGGCTGGTGATGCTATGGGGCTCAGGAGGGGCTGGGTTGGATCTAAGAAATATTTAACATAAAAAAATCAGATCAACTTTCTTGGCATGTAACGTTCATCCACAGTTCTTACTAAGAAGACATCTTGGTTACTTTGTTCTTATCCTGCAAAACTCATACCAATGGTAGGTGTGAGCTCAGGCTCATAAAACAATATCTGCATGGTTTTAGTCATTTAAAGTTGTATCTGACCCCAGCCAAACAGGCAGAACTGCAGACAACTCATACTGACAGTGCTTTTAGACCTATCTCTAGAGTGTATTGGCAAGAAGGTAAAAGAAGAGGGGAGAAGTGTATTAAGAAAATGTGTGTATTGGTGTATAAACTCGGGCATATGTAGCACATAACTGATTTTCTCAACAGGTCACAAAAAAATCAGATGCAAAAGTAATGAATGGTTTTACATTAGCATATGTGAATACACTTTCCGTTGGCTTGAAATACTTCCACAGTGGCATGAAATTGTCTGTAAATGATCACAAGATACTACAGAAGGCACAAAATGGTCACAAATGGTCACAAAGCACCACAGACACTTCAGCCAATGCCCAGTGAAGTCAACAGGAATTGCATAGTCATCAAAGCAACCAAAGCAGGGTAATAATAAAACCTCTGTATTTATTAAAATAGTGTGCTGTCAAGTGATTATTGCTTAAATAAAAGCAGCTAACACATAAGTATCTCTGAGCAGTCGATGTGATATAGTTCAGTGCATAATTCCCTCCCTCATAAGCTGTTTCTCCCAGAGGCATCTCTCCTTTCAACAAGAGAAGTGAATTCTGAACTGGAAATCGCCCATCGTTTTCAAATTAACTTGTTCTTAAAAGAAGATCAGAACCAATATTCCGACCTTACATGTTATGCAGCTTGTTGGTAAAAAAATTAGCCTTGAATTGAAAAATCACTTTTATTGATCCTGTAAATAACAGCTGAAAACAACAGCCAAAATATCTTATCCAACATGCCAGTTCAGCAGGCAAGCATTAGTCATGCTGCTCTCATAAAGATTAGCCGAGATGGCTCTTTCTAAGACAGATGAGGCAGGAACAGAATCAATCCACAAAGCTTTTCATATCCCTCTGCAGGACATTCCCCTACAGCTTTGTTAGTGCTATAGCAACATCAGCCACTATGGTCTCCCTACAGACTCTGACATTGGAGAACGACTCCCTGAGCATGCAGAGAAGCAAACTCCCGGCGAACTACCCTCTCTGGGATATATAAATGCTCCACAATGCAAGAGCTGGTGAATTTGCACGTACAGTGAGTCCTTGGTAAGGGATGATTGAGATGAAAGGCTCCATCCTTTTCTACACCTTCCATGTCCTAGCATTATCAAACTTGGCACTAACTTTGATTATATGAAAAACAGATAATTTAGCTATTAATTACAGGTAACCTCAATAGCCAATGTTGACAATTAAATTGCAAATTTCAACTTTAATGCAATATTAATCTTCCTGATCTGTGTGTAAATTCCCCACTTTGTCTACACAGATATTAAAATAAATTTGTATTTAAAAGACATGATGCACAACATTTTCACACAACTAAAAAACACAAGTTTAGTATTCAATATACAGATGCTGGCTGAGAAAAACACACAAAAAGCATCCAAAGGATAAGAGAACACTCCAGAGAGGTACACACCTGCTTCTCTTCTATATCCTGCCACAGCAAATTGTTCCAGAAGACACTACATATTACAGACCTCACTCCTCAGGCTGGTTTTACGGATTGACAAAAACACAAACCTAGACCCTAAACCAACAGGAAGTTTTTCCTGATCCAATCTGAAACATTTAATTCCCTGACTCCTAGTCATCTCTCTCATTATACCCCATTATTTCTAATAATATTATTATAATATTATATATTATAATATTATTATTATTTTACCCCATTCCTCTGCAGCTTCAGTTTACCCTCTTTAAAGGCGTTTAATTGTGATGTCATACTGAGCAGCTGCTGCTTAGTTATCTATGTTCATTGTTTCTAATAGATCTAAGTATAGCAGTGTACAACTATGCACATCAAGACATCTCTAGCTGTTTGTACTTCTCTTCCCTCAGTTTCATTAGCACTGTTCCCACACAGATGCAGGCAAATGAACTCTCAGCAGTGCCCACTCAGACTCAGCGTGGGGTGGGATGAAACAAAGGCAGGCACATGCAGCCCCAGTTACTTTGCTCTGTGCTTCACACCATCTCACACTTTTCTGTGTTCAGCTCCTGGACTCTCTCAGGTTTATTTTACAGGTTTTTAATAGTTTCTTCCTTGGATTTAAGTAAAAGGTAACACAGACCATGTAAAATACCTTTACAGTAATTAAAAACTCGTATCTGTGTAATGAATTTTTCTATCACTTGGGGGACTCTACCAAAATTGTTCACCAATTGTTCATGCAAAGCAAGAGAGACCCTGACATGCTTTACTCATCTTTATACAGTCTTTTGGTCAGAAACCTCAAGCAACTCTTAGAAAAGTTCAATTACACTTTTCTGTATGTTACTTTCACTAATAATTTCTACTTTTCTGAGGCCCTTCATTTGAAGGCACTGATATATTTTATAAACATCACCTTGGCTTCAGAAGATCAGGCAAGCAATGACATTTTCAGAAGTATTTCATCCTACAGAGAAATGCATATTTTTGGAGCAATTTTTGAGGGAAAACATCATGATGCAGCTGTAGAGGGAAAAGATGATCAGAGAATATAATATACAGCTGAACAGCACTATAATCCTGATAGAGACTTACAGGATTTGCAATGAGCCAGAATACTGTAATTAACGTCAGTATTTTTCTCATAAAAGGTTGTGAAATCCCAGTGATGAGAACAGGTCAGAACGTTTCCTTAATACTTCATCCACCACCAGTATCACAACACTGGTCTGAGCTGACTAGCAGCATCTAGGGTTTTTTTGTGTTTTCCCGGTGGCTAGAAGGCGATCTTGTAGTCTACATTGTTTCAACCAAGTTCTGACCTGGCCTAACCTTGGCTTGTGAAATCCAATAAGATCACAGCACAGTCTGGCATGGCTGCAAGCAATGTTCGGTCATAGTGATACTAAAGTCCCCAAGGAATGTAATCTGGAAGAAACAACAAAGAAGCTTGCAACAAAGAGATATAAAACAAGAGGATAAATGGTAGATAAAAGAATGAGCAATATTACAGTAACTCGTGTGAAGGGAGGCCATTAGATTGAGCTATGTTGTTGGAA